AGTACTGAACTATTAACTAAGAATTATACCCCTGGCGCCATCTAACGAGAAAAGGTAGTACTGAACTATTAACCAAGAATTATACCCCTGGCGCCATCTAGCGGCTTTATAAAATACTTTCGTCAGTTGAATTCGAATACCTCTTATATCATCATGTGTTCCTGATACATTTCGAGCTATTTTGTGACATCTAATTGACGAAGTCTAGACAAATATATATAGATATAGTGAGTATGTTAATATGTGCAGTTCATTTAAATGATTAAGTTTTGAATAATTTATCATTTTTAATGCTACTTTGAACTCATGAAGTCTTATATTATTTCTTAAAATGTGTAAAAGAAATCCTTTTTTTTTAGATTGTTCTTACTATCAGCCATAAGTCAATATTTTTTTATACTTATGTGTATAACAAAGTCCATGGTCTTTAACGTCTTAAGTTCAAAGTCTGTAATCTCTGGTTTTATGTTTCTGATGCGGAAGCGTTTATTTGATGAATTGACAGTTGAAAATGAAAAATGTAAAAGAATATACATAGCCAAAATTACAATATATATTTCAAAGGTTTATAAAAAATATATTTTTCATATCTAACATTGAATAATACTGAACAAGAAAATTTGTAAAATTAATTCTAATATTCAGACAATGATTTTAAAATACAAGAGGAATTTGTGTACAAATAACTGATTTAAATATTAATTTCAATTATACGATGAAAATAAAGTAATTTATATTCAGTGATAAATTTATTCACATTCATTCAAATAGGATATGACAACTAATTGTTAGGAGAATATATGAATGAAATTGAATTGGAGACAGTTGAGAGACACTGTTCTTCTTCTATGTTATTTACATTCTTTCCCTTCTCGAATGTATTCCGGTAGGTATTACCATAGATGAATGCAGAATTTTATTAAATGTTTTACTTATTTCCGCATATATATAATATTTTCTAAAGATTTATTAATACGTTTTGAAGTATTGAATTTGTGAAAAACAATTTCTAGAATGAATAATCGAATGATTATATAATTATCTCATTATTCCTTTTAGCATGTAAATGTGTATGTAAATATACATAATATTTTACATTTATGTATTCTAAAAACATATTCTAATTGGTCATTTATTTTTTTTTCTACGCATTCATTTTCTTGAGAATGCACAATAACATTTTCTATATTCTGTTAAAAATTTATAAATAGAACACTGCGTCTTAGGAATAAATAAGAGACCTTTAATACTCTTTCCTATCAATAATGTCTTTCTAATCTTTATTAAATTATTACAATTAAATATTTAGGTCAATTGATGCATTTAAATTACCATTGATAATTTATTTAATTATTACAAATTACCAAGATGTGATAACATGAATAATACATAAGTAAAAACTATGCATTTTTGTCGCTTGTGCAACAATTGGAATGTTTGTTTCCTACCGAGCGTATGTATTTGTAATATTTTCATTTTATATCATCAAAATCATATTCTCTCCGTGATATTCATGAAAAGAAAAGAGAAACAAACAATTCTGAAAAAGGAAGTTTATAATTGAAAGTTACGTTTTTGTTTATATGAAAAAAATAGTAAACAGAATGAAAATTACAGAAAAGAAATGTTCAACAAATTGTTTGAAATTTATATTATCTTATGATATATTCCTATAACATTGGAGAATTTATTTATAAATTTATATTTATTATCAATATTAATCTAAATATTATTACATAATCATTGAATTATAGAAGATTCTTGGATATGATTTCTTCCAAGTTCTGTAAATTACATTCCTGTGAATAAAACCGGTATTATTCGGTATTTGGCTTACGTAGTAATTAACATAGTAATTGAAGCTTGCTCAATTAAATTAAATAATGCAATGTTTAGTAGAGATATAACATCTTTTATTTATTATTATTTAAAATTTAAATTTTCACATACATATTGTATTCAGATACATAAATATTAGATTTATTGAATTCCTAACGTCATGCTATCATTTATTTCATTATTATAATACTAAGCAATCTGTAATTAATGTTATCATTTTCAAAATTACTTTTTAATTCCTTATCATTATATTTACAATAATAAATAGCCACCATGATGATTGTAAAAAATAAAATATCGATATTATTGATAACTATAATCGATTATTAATTCATAACTATATTCAAAGCAATGAATCAAGAAAAGATAATAGAAGATTACGACATTATCGATCAAGTAAATATAATAGTTTAATTAATTCTTGACCGTTGAATTTTTGTTTCATATATTTATCATTATATCATTCGAATAGATAGTAAATAAATACAGGTTGATCTAATATTTATCTAAATAAATGATAAGAATGCGACTAAGAACCCCTGCTTTTTACACAACCAACTAGTCCGTCTAGCGACTTGTATGACGTATGATAATCGATATTTGAGTTAGTGTACGTGTATAAATTTCTTTTATCCCTACCACCAAGTTCGTTATGCTTCACGTTTAGAAAGAAGAGAGGCAAACTTGTTCGCAGTTCTAACTACAGATTCCAAGAGACAGTAAGAAAAGACCGGTACTCGTGACTCCATTTTGTTCTACATTTTCGAATTAACCAACGTAAATTGTCAAATTGTTTTTCTTATCAATAATCATTTGATTTTGTTCTTTTTTTTTAACAGTTTTTATAAAGTTTTCGATAGACGATTACAATTAAATAATTGATAATTAAACTCGTTGATAAAAGAAATCAAAGAAAACAATAGAAAAAATGACGTTAGAGAAGAAAATGTCAGTGCGAGAGTTTTACAACGGGAAAAGCATTTTTCTGACTGGTGGAACTGGATTTCTTGGTATTAATTTGATCGAAAAGCTTCTCCGAGCATGCCCTGATTTAGAGAATATTTATTTGCTTATGAGAAATAAAAAGGACAAACAAGTTAAGCAGAGACTGGAAGAGTTAACGATGAATCCGGTATATTATTGTTTTTTAATTTCTCATTTTCTTTTCTATTTAATTATTTAATGTATATGTGTATTAAATGAAAACTTATCTTTTTTGGTTTCATTCGGTCAGATTTTTTATAGACTGAAAAATGGAGCAAGAGCGGAGTATCTTGAGAAATTAATTGCTGTTACTGGCGATGTCAGCGAAGAAAATCTTGGTTTATCTGAAGAAGATAGGAAAAAAATTACAGAAAATGTAGAGATTGTCATACACTCTGCTGCCACTTTGGATTTTGAAGCTAACTTAAAAACAAATGTTAACATTAATTTGCTGGGTACTCGCAGAATTATTCAGTTGTGTCATGAAATAAAAAATCTCAAGGTAAATCAGACCTTAGAAAGTTACTTTTAACATATTCCAATAATGAATATTTTTGTTTTTTCTTTTCTTTATCTATATTTGTCTTTTTATTACACAATCATTTACTTATTTTAGGCTTTCATCCATGTTTCCAGTGCATATGTTAATTCAATGCTGTTGGACGTAGATGAAAAAATTTATCCAGCTCCAGCTGATGTTAAGGAAGTATTAAAGATGATAGAAGAGCTGAACGAAAAAGAATTAGAAGAAGAGACACCTAAGATATTAGGAAGTCATCCTAATTCTTACACATTTACCAAACATTTGGCTGAGCATGAAGTAGGTAATGCTTCCTTGCCATCTGCGATAGTACGACCTTCTATGAGTAAGTTTTGAACTGTGTTTTTAATTATTTAAAGTAAAGGTTGTGTAGTATAATTTTATTCATAAATGTCTTTTGCGATTATAGTTGTAGGATCCTGGAAGGAGCCAGAACCTGGATGGACCATATCAAAAAATGGGCCAACGGGCTTTATCATGGGTGCTAGTATGGGAGTTGTACGGAGGTTACCTATCGCTAAACATTTAATATACGATTACATTCCAGTAGATGTTGTTTCAAATACTATCGCTACCGCTGCTTATGCTGTTAATCGTGACGGGTAACTTATATTTAAATTAATAAATTTGATAACTAGATTATAATATTAAATATGTTTTTTACTTATTTCAGTGGGACTGACGTAAAAGTATATCATTGTACATCTAGTACAACAAATCCTTTTAAATGGGAAAGCATAGAGTCGAAAATAACAATATTTCTACGTGATTTTCCATTGTTGAAGGCTGTTTGGTATCCAAATCTCAAATTTGTTCGCTCAATATTCTTATTTAAACTTGCTGCCTTTTTTGTACATATAATTCCTGCAATGATATTGGACACACTTACTCGTTTTAGTGGAAAACGTCCGATGTAAGCTTTAAAAAGTATAATTTAATAAATTCTCATGTAATAAATTATATAAATTATTTAATAAATCATGTGTTTATATATATTTTAGATTATTACGTATGCACAGGAACATTAATAAATCGCTAGACCGTCTTGAAAAATTCATTTTTACAGAATGGAAGTTTCATAATCCAAATTATATGAATTTAAGTAATTCTTTGACCAAGGAAGATGAGGAAGATTTCTATCTGAACATTAAAACATTAGTTTGGGATGATTACTTCCTAGATTTGGTAATAGGTTGTAGAAAATATCTAAGTAAGGAACCTAATGAAACAATCGACAAAGCGCGTTTGAAACAGAAGAAGTAAGTATGATCAATGAAATGCACTTTGCATTGTTGAATTTTTTTTTTCTTTCTCTTTTTTGTAATTAAATATATTTTTATACAGATTGCAGATGGCTCATGTAGCCCTTCAAGTTCTATTATTTGGATTTATTTTGTGCTTTTTGAAATTTATGTTCAACACAACTTGGTTTAAAGTAGGCATGGCTTTACCGGCCATATATTTTTTCTTCGAGATGTTTTAAATATTATGCAAGAGTTGCTTTGCGTTCATTGTTTATATAAAATAGATCTGAGGTGGTGGCAGATTTTGTTAAATAACGCTGCTATTCATTTATTTACTTTAAAAAAGTAAAATCGTTTAAGAACATTGTTCTGTGCGTTCAAAATACATTGTACATTTTTATATACATATACACACACTTATATCTCTCAAATTGAATATAATATATTTCTACGAAAACTTGAAGAATAGGAATGATTCTAAGATCTGTTCGATATAAATGATAAGTTGATTTTTCAAACAAGATACTTTTGGATCATTGTATCTTGTTACAAGTGATACAATGTATCCATTTGTATTTCATTTAACGAATCTTCTAACGAATCTCTTAGATCATTAGAATCGATTCAGTATTCAATATATTTGTAATACTCTTTACAATAAAAAATATTTTTGCTAGTATTAATTATTGTTGTTGTAAAAAGTTTTTGATGCATTCATACGCGTGATATAATTAAAATGAACAGATAAATTAATATGTTTATTTATGTATAAAGATGTATATTTTATACTATTTTATTATATTATATATTTCAAATAGAATTTAAAAATTATTTTTAAAGTTTTTTTTTTCTCTCTTATTGTAAAATATTGAAGATTTATATAGTTTATATATTTGAAAATAGAATTATATATATTTATCATATGATAAGGATCCACAAAATATTATTTATCGACAGGAACACGTTTACTACCTTATCTACTGTCGACTCAGCAGAGTTTAATTTGCTTATCAAGAGAAGGTACACGTACCTAGCTTACACAATCGATAAGAAAGATGTTGAATAGAGAAAAAAGCGAAAGAGATTTATTATTAAACATAATTTATCTTTTTTAAACAATAAATTTCATAATTTATTGTTTATATAAAATGAGATAATGCAGTGTCAAGTATAAATAATATTTGTTGTTACTTGTAAAAATTGATTTTACTATTACTGCGTTGTTATCATTGTTGGTATTTTTGAAAAAATGAATATTTCCAAAATTAATATTTAATATATCATCGTTGTAAAGAAACTTATTCTTGTATAAAAGCAATGAACAGTAAAAAAGTATTAAAATTGTTAATATTATGTAATAAAAATAATCCATTTGTCATAGTGGATGGTAAAAAATATTTGACTAAGCTTCTCCGAAATGTTTAATTGGAAAGAGTTAACATCTTTAAGAAATAATAAATTGATATAATGAAAGTCATTAAAAAGATATTAAATTAGTAAGGGACGAAGTTAAATAATGAAACTTAATCGAAAATCATTTAAGTTAGAAATGAATAAAACGAAGTTTGATTGTATATTATATAACGACTGAAAAGAAAAATATAACTCTTGCCATGTTAGGATAATAAAAAACGAAATAATCGTTTAAGGGGAATCCCGAGCGGGAATAATAAAAAGAGAAGAAATTGTTTTAAAAAATGGGATTTCAATGTAGAGTTGAGGTTTAATATAATAACGAATTAGGGAAATCCCAAGGTAAGATGACGAATAATAAAATAAAAAGATAAAAATATAAAAAGACGAATAAAATCATAAGCATACCTTTCACGTAAACTGGATAAACATGAGCGAGCCAAGCGTCAAGGGCGTACAATGAACTCTGTAATATAGTAAAATTTAGTAAATAGGCAACATGATGCATAAAGGAGATCATGCATGAGGGATAATAGGAATTTACAATCATACGTAAAAAAGAAATAGAAAAGAAATAAATAAATAAAAAGAAGAGGAACAAAGGGAAACCTTCTTATAACTTATCTACCATCTCTAAGTATCAAGGTTAACAACATGTTGGTGATCGTGATAGGTGGTGTGGATGTACAGTAGTAGATTGGAATAAAGCATCGTGTGGAACCAGAATTTTCTCTCAGTTCGTTTGTGCGAGCGTTCGGTATTAATCATTAAGTTCGAAAGCACCCGAGACTTCGGTTTACCTCGCGTGTTTTTTCGATCAGTCGTTTTCGTGCAGAGTTCACTGACGGCATCCAAATCGAGTGGTCGTTGCTATTTTAGACTCTTTTCTCTCGAACGAATCCCATTAATCAAGTTACATTTTTTTTTTCATCTTCGAAACCGGTTGTTTGTTCAATTTGGCTACGTACAGCCGAATAATAAGAATAATTCTTTTTAAGATACTCTCGTTATTTCTTTTGGTAGTCTTGCAAGGTCTTTGGCAACATTCATCCACCTTAGTTCTTCTTTAACGTCGAGTGAAACAGGTACGTTCAAAGACTTTTTTTCAACCCTTATTCACATTTTTCCTCTTTTTTTATTATTTAATTTATAATTTATTATTCTTTGTTAATATATAAGAAGTAACATTTGTAAAAATGTGGAGAATTTTTTCAATCATTTTTATTTATTGCAACGACATTGAATCTGTATTTTGTCTGTGAGGGAGTAAATTTTGCAAAAATGACATATATCATTTTATTTTAAATCGTGCATTACAATTTTGAAATAAGGCAAAATACTATTCCCTATTTAGTAGAGAATTAAACGAGTGGTCAGACAATGAACATAAAGAAATATAAATGATCGTATGGATAAAGAATTTATCTGATTAGTCGTTGTTCATACTAGATAATTTATTCTGTACACGCTTCAATTCAAGATCAAGTTTATGTGATATTAACAATTTATATTATACGAATTATTCATTAAACAAAGTATGCCCAAATATTATAATTTACAAAATAATATTTATAAACAAGTATATATATTAAAGTATAAAAATTGCAATGATACAATGGCGAAAAAAGAAATAGGATTTTTTTTATATACATACGTTTCTTCTTTCTATCTAAAAAAATGTTCTTTCTCATTGATTATTTAATATATATTTTAAAGGTCAATCAATTTTTGCTTTTAACGCACACGTGGTTCGTTAAATATTACAGTTATTTTAAAATAAAAAATACCTTGAGAATAAATTACTTTCGACGATCTGCAATGCCTTTTTTTTCCTTATTTTTTTCTTTTTTTATTTTTTAATTCGAAATGATAGAAGATACGAGTAGATATTCCATGATCGATTTTAAAAATAAGTATCAATGATTTTGAAATCTTGAAGGGAAAAATTTTAAAAGTCGACTAAGTTGATTTGTCAATTGTTTGTTATTAACTCTAGCAATATGTGTACCACCTGTAATTAGCTATCATAAAAAATCATTTTGCGGAAAAGCAAGAAAAATATACTTAAGTCATTTATAAAATAAACGTCTCAATTATCTCAATGGGAAAACACTTTTTCTATCATTAAATATATTCTTTTGCAGTCTGTCTTGTGAATATTTTTCAACGTTTAATTAAATAATAAAGAAGATTCGTGCCGTTTTGATCAATAAAGATGAACGTTGTTTAAATATAAGAACGGTACAAACTTTCTTGTTTATATACGTAATGCATTATCAAATTAAATGTATGCTATGATAATGCATAGCAAATGTGCATAATGTATTAACAAACGTAATTTAACAATCCATACAAAGTATAAAAGCTTTTCTTTCTTCTTATTTTAAGTTAACATATTTAATATTAACATTTTGTACGTGTGTTGTTATAGTTGTAAAGAGTGAAGAAATCAGAACAATGGATACAATACCGACGATACCAGAATGGTTCAAGGACCGGAAGGTTCTTATTACCGGTGCTACCGGATTTATGGGAAAAGTAATGATTTACAAATTATTAATGAGCTGTCCGGACATTGGAAATATTTTTCTCATCATTAGAGGAAAAAAGGGTGTGGATACTCAATCAAGATTGAAGATCATCACTGATGTAAGTTATTCGTATGAAGTCAGAGGAACAATATTTTAAATTTTGTTTAATGTTTTTTTTAACTCATCGATCGTATCAATTAATACATAAATAATCTATTAATCGATACATTATAATTTTTAATTAAGATAGAGAAGAATTCTTAGAAGGAATTTATAAAAATTAATTGTTAATAGATCTATTAACTTAATAAACGTTTGCACCATTAATCACGGCCAATGCTGCCGGTTGCGACAGTAAAAAAGGATTAAATGAAATGAAATAAATGAAATTAAATAAAAAAAAAAAAAAAAAAAAAAAAA